TGACAAATTTTGAACACTAAATATTTCAAAATGCTGTTGCTACCTTATCAAAAAAGACACTAGATAAAATGCTTTCCAAATCAACTCGTCCATGCTTCTGCGTCTGTTTTACAGCCAGCGTTATTTCGCGAATTTTTTCATACGCTTCTTGTCGATCAGTGCCTTCCTCTGTCAGCAACATCATCGCTCTTTCCAGTGCCAAAAATGGCAAATCCGCATGAACGTTATCTTCAATTCTTTCCTCATCCATGGTTAACCCCTCCACAATGTGCTGCAAAAATGCGAAACTTAATTTGGCTAGTTTTAAATAAATAGTAAATTCCGATTTATCTGTAATTCATTTCCATTTGGCTTTTCAGAACAGCACTTCGTGAAAGTTATTTCAAAGGCAATCATTCACATTTTGAGTAATCACAATTACTGAGAAACTTGACATCAGTAAAATTAAACATAAAATGTGAGATTTTACATATTTACCTGAAATATAGTGAGAATCGCATCGGCAAGCAAGAACATGTCTGGAATCAATATGCGTCTGATAGCGGAATCATCAAGGGTTCTTTCAAGACTTTGATCGCCAAGCGTATTCAACGCATCCTGTACGAAAAGAATTAGATATAACAAAATCAACATAATAAAATGGTCTTGAATGGAATTGACTAAAATTTCCGAACTTGGAATTGTATGAATAAACCAATCCTGATGTAATGTAGAAACTAGAAAGTCTGATCATTACAAGACCGGATTCTATGGCGGTAAAACGATGGTTAATCAAAGGAGGACAAGATATTAAGTGCATCTAGACTAAAATAAAAGGCTTTCAAAGCATTTCGTAGTCCATCTATTGATACGCTTTCGATAATCCTGGTTATTCATCATCCTGATAAATGGAAGACCAAAATTTACTCACCTGAGGTGCACTCATTAGTTTTCGAGCTAAACTGCAGACACGTTCACTTTTAATTGGATTACGTTTATAAGGCATTGCTGAACTGCCAATTTGCTCAGTTTCGAACGGCTCAAATATTTCACCAAAGGCCTAAAATCATTTCGAATTTTATAATCAAGCAACAAAAAAAGCATATCATTTCAACAGCTCAATCATTAAATTCTATATGGGATACTTTCAATCTGAAGAAATTAACAGACTTGAAATGCATAGATAAACTGAAATTTAAGAAAAATAGACCTGCAAAATTCGTACATCTGTGCAAATTTTCTTTGTGGCAGCTCCCAGAAGTGCAAAAATATTGACAAGATCACAATCCTAGAATGAAAATTTGCTTCACAATTAATATCTGCTCACGATACTGATGTAGAAATTGCCGAGACTTTGTATTCCACTATTTGTATATCCTTATACCTTCCTTACTTCCTTATTCATGTCAAAAGATAAATTATTGAGCAACGTTAATCAACGTTAATGTTAATCATTAAAAAGGACAAAACTAGTAAAAAACAAATCTGACCTCTTTAAAGATTACAATTGCTTAATTAGCACTTATTTCTCCTTTAAACAAGCTATACCTTTATTATTTTAGTTATTCAAAAGTACCTGCTGTCGAGAATATGTCTGCCCACTGATATAGAAACGAAACGCAAAACCAGCACTTTTCGTTATTAATTCATCCAGTTTATCTACCTGAAAATTATCTGGTACACAATTTATCTATCTGTATCTAAATTTATCTAAAATTTATCTAAAAAATGTTTTGCTTCTAAAAAAAATACACAGCAATAAAAGAAGGGAAAACAGGTGAATGATAGCATGAGTATCCAAAATTATTTTAGAAGCAAAACATTTTTTACACAATTTTTTGAAACGTATCAAGCCGTCAATTTTAACTAGTGGATGAATGAAATCGCATATGGCAGTAATAACCGCATATTTGGAAAGCTTATTACCGACATACTCTAATAAGGGGATCAGCTTTAAAGCTTACATAATAATTGATACAATTACCTTCGCTTCATCATTATGAAACAATGCCATGAATGAATCCTGTGTGCCCGTTGCACCTTTTACTCCTCGAAAACGCATGTTTTTTCGGAAATATTCTAGCTGTAATTAAACATAAATAAATTGAAATCATTTAAGCAAATAATGTTACTGGAAACTAAAAAAAGGACATTGAAGAGTGCACGACAGTAGCACTCTTCAGTGTTCTGTTTTTAGTTTCATAAAAATGAAGTACAAATGTGGCAATGTTCCTATTATTGTTATTACGAACGAACTTATTGTTGCGTACGAACACATATGAATACATGCGTGTGAATGTTCTTCAACGCTAAATCAGAAGGATACGCACCAGAAATGCTATAAGTGATTAATCAAAAAAATTGGAAACTTTCTCATTTCGATATTAGCTTATAATAAAAAAAGAAAAAATTGCTGTTTTGAGATATATAAACGCTAACAATGAAACGATATATTTAACAATATTTAATCTACCTTTGTGAAAACCATCAATAATTCCTGAGCCCACATCGCAGCACGTTTACCAACAGTTACTAATGATGCTGTTTGATAATGCGTCCGTCCAACAGTAACGATATCTTTCGTCTTCTCGGCAAACTCATCCAATCGATTGAGACACATCGCAAGTCTACAAATTTCATTAATCTCTACTAATTTCCAACATGAACCAGATACTGCTTCATGCGTCTGCAGAGCTTTAAGATAAAATGAAATTCGAGAACATATTTTGATTCAGGCCAAACCTAAATTTCAACCAGCACATACTTCTTCAATATGTAATCAGTAGCTTGCCGTTGAACAATCAAATCGGCATTGTCTTGGACAAAACACGACGTCGCACCCAAATGTATTATTCCTTTTGCCTTTGGGCACATCTAAAAATAAAAAAATTCAACAGTTATAAATACTGCTAATACCATACTATTTTTCATACAACATATAATACAACGTAGCATATGTTAGCTTATACTTTCACATTAATTTTGCCAAATTTTTTAGGATAAAGAGTAGTTTTCACCTTCCCAAATGCATAATTATGAGCCATAACATCATGCTTGATTCGCTTTTCTTCTCGTCGTACTGTATCCCAATCAATCACTTTCTTCGATTTCTTCATTTCTTCAATTGCTTCTTCAGTAACCTATAATCAAGAGACGAGCGTTATTTATGGAAGCATTGATTTAAGCTCACATACTGAAAAAATATCATGGCATTAGATCTGATCAGAAAATTATATCTTTTTCCCTGTTATTCACACGATTCCATAACATATATAATCTGGAAAACACATAATTATCTCTATAATCACTATTCACATAATTATCTCTATAATCACTATCTGTATCATAGTTACATAGAAAATTTATCGGACAATTCACTATAATAATGGTTTCTTGAAAATATAAGCAGCTAATATCCATACCTTATTTGATTAATAACTACATTCCCTCATTCAGTTGGAAAATAATTATGCAAAAAACAATAAGAATAAACACACCTGTTTTAGACCGAGTTGCATCTCCGCCTCTGCAAGCCAAATCCACATTTGTCTCCATATCATTACCTTAAGATAAATTAAAAACCTTTAACTTGTAATCATATTTTTTGTAGAGCTGTTGCAAATTGGAAAATTGTTGAAAATAAATGAATACCTTCTTTCAAATTAACCACTGAAGTAAATGGATTTCATATTTATAAAATTTACACTGAAGTAAATGGATTTCATATTTATAAAATTTACTACATTGAACTTTGAATTTATCAAATTCAATTTAATTAGATAACATTGGTGATTATGGAGCAACAAATTTTCAAAATAGTTACTTTATTTCTTTCGCTTAATATATTCATCAATGGGCTTTTGCCACAATATCGTGATTTAAGTACCGTTTCATATTTATCTTCACTGTTGATATGAGAAATCATCGTTAATAATTCCTGAGAAACCACCAGAGCTTTAATCCGATATTTTTCTTTCAATAATTTAATTATGAAATAAAGTGACAATATTAGGGTAGGACGATTCAATCCAAAAAAAAAGAGAAATTTGAAAAATGTATGAAAATGTAAATGTATGATGAAGATATATCACCAGGCCTACGATCTACAGCAAACATTCAACGATATAATTTCAACGTTAAATTTGGTAAAACTTCGCGCACACATCTTGGCCTAATAAAACCTTCTATTGGGCACGGTGACGGATTGCAAACACCGTCGAGTTTGGATCTGAAAAACATATCATTTTATTTTTTGTCGCTTATAGCCGTAATCTTGCATCGTATTACATCGTGCACAAATAATCTTGCATCATATTATATCGTGCACAAATAATCTTGCTTCATATTACACTAACTCATACATCGTCGATTTTTGATCTTAAAAACATTTCATTTTATTCTCTTATCGTGTATAGCGTAATCTTGCTTCATATTACACCGACTCATACGTAACCCGCATGTAATACTTCTCGCTTTATATACATGTAATGACCTATACGTGATAATCCTACAATTGATTGAAGCGAATTGATCAATATTTCTGTTAGCTTGATATTACATGTTCATACTTTTTCTAGCAGTTATATTTACTGTGTCGTATCCTTAACGCTTTATTTGCTATGTTGCACACAGTATATAAAACGTGTTTTATATGCTATGTGCAAATGGATTTTTGGATATTTAGTATATGACACGTGTTTTACGTCGAATTTTGACGGCATTTTTCTTTCATGTGGAATTTTTTTGGGATTCTTCTCATAATTTTTATTTTTAATTTTTTCTTTCTATGATGAAATTTCGCAAAACTTAACCGAAGAGACTGAGCATATTTTCTTCTTTGGCCATAGATTAGATTATACCGCTTATCATCAATTCTTATCATGGATAGTAACGAATAATGAGTTATTAGTATTATCATTACCAAGTGATAATAATGTAACGTGAATATTCCTGACTAAATGTCACTATTAATAGTAACTTATATATGATAAATCATCAGGAAGTCAATTTTCCAAGCAGTTATGGCTAAGATAAACAAAAAGCGAGAAAACATGAAAGCAATGAAGAAGAAAAAAGTGAAGATGAGCAAGGGAGAGAGGATCCAGAAAGTGGAAATTTCCGGAAAAGTACCTACAGAAGAAAAAAATGTAGTCCTGTCAACGAGTTCCAATGAAAATAGCAGCATGCAAGTTCCGTTGAACATCGATTATAATTCTTTGCAAAGTTAGTTGATTTATTTTCTGATTGTTTTGCATCGATAGATATATATGTGAAGTAGGTCAAAATTAAGGTTAGAGACGTATTAGAGCAATTCCTCCATGACATTGGATAAATTAGTGAAGATAAATGTCTGACCATGATCGAGCAATATTTTAACGATCATCGATAAAATTAAGTAAGATCTAGCATTTCTTCATTATCAAAAACGGAAGAAAAAGCTAGAAGCTCAATAAGAGTAAAATAAAGTAAAGGGAACAGTGTGATCGCTATTTATGGGATGAAACTGCTGAAATATACAAATAATTAAGACAAATTTTAGACATCTTAAGATATAATATTGTTGATCGTGTCGAATTCCTTTAATATACAAATTTTATAGCAAATGTTACGAGAAACTTTATTATCATTTGATTTAAGATACCGGTAAGTGTTAAGTTATCGTTCAATAACTTTTGACGATTTTTTTGATGCTCTTCCGTTTTTTCTTGTAAATATAAATATAGATAAAATTATCATAGATTATCATTCCAGAAGTTTTACGGAATTCTTTCTTTATGTTTTTGGTTTTCGTTTCCTTTCTTTTTCTTTTTTCCATACCACTGATACAGAAAGAGAATAAAAATGAAGTTTTTAAAAATAAGTGAAATGTTTATCTTAAAAGGAAATGTCTAAGCGTATCATTTTAAAGATTGATAATTATATTGCAGAGACTATTTTATTGAAATTAGAACTTTTGCTGATACTAAATAGAGAAGGAATTCCGTAAAACCGTATTTTACCGTATTTACCGTATTTTTGCAGCACTGCGATATGGAATTAGTGAAAAATTCAATTCGGAAAGACATCTGTTTTTAAAAAAAGATCCTGCAAATCAGTGTTCGTTAATTATTGCCAATGTACCTCCATATATCACACCAGTAAGTGTAAAGATTTTCTGACAAATGAGATTCATTATTGCCAATATTCTCCATATATCACACCAGTAAATGTAAGAATTTTCTGAGAAATAAGATTAGAAGTTTTTTGATTAGAAAATAAAATTGGATAAATTAAGGGCGAGAAAAAATCTTTTGAAAAAGGTGAAATTGTAGGTTGCATTGGGACGAATTTTAGCTGAACTTGGTTCTGGTAGACCGGAGGAAGTAATCGCACAGCGTGGAACAGCGACCACTAATATTACGGATGTATGAATTTTCTATAAATTTAATTTTTAATAATTACTTCTTTCCCTTCCATTTTTTTATATTGTTCTTCAGGGCTTTTACACGGCATCTGCTCGCTTGAAAACAGAAAGTGCTGTTGAACAAGCATTACAAAATTGTGAAAAGATCCCTTTTCTTTATCTGAGCAATATCGATGTTGAATTGATACAAAATGGAGCAACAAGTGATTTTAATTTTTCATTTGCGAAACTTACTATTACTTTCTTTGTATATGACAAACTTCTTATTATTTTATCTTTTGCAAGTTTTTAAATTACTCTTTAATGTTGTTGATAGTTACTTTTTGGTGGAGAATGATAGGCTTCAAGTCATATTTTACTATTTTTCTCATAACTTGTAGATATTATAAGAGCTTCCTCGTGTTAACACTAAACTGAGAAAAAGCAAAATGACAATTGCGAGAAATCCACAATTTAAAAAAAAAGAAAGAAGCTGAAAATGGAATGAAATTATAAATAAAAAATAGAATTATCAATAAATTAAGTCATTGCTTGTTTTAGAATGGTGTGATGAATATCGCAAGTCTTTCAAGACAATAGAACAGTTACAGGAAAGCGTGGATTCGTACATCAAAGAGTCTGATGCTAAAATTCTGGAAGTATGACATCTATTTTTGCATGAAATTTAGACGGAATAGTTGTTGTGATATAATTAGTTTTTTATTTCTATATGTAAGTGATATGTTAATGAATATCTATTCCATCTGTGAGTTTTCAGGAAAAACAAAAGGCTAAAAGGATGGCGAATGTTCCCGACGAGGATGGGTGGATAACTGTTACAAAATCGCGTATGTTATTGTTGCCTTTTTATCGAGAGAAAGTCCTACATTTTTTATTTGATCGAAATTGGTTGTTGAAATTCAATTTATAACTTATAAAACTTAAATGAATTTATAACTTATAAAACTAGAATGACTTTCAGATCACAAGACTGTACCGCGTGCTATCGTTGTGAGGAATAAGGAGGATTTGCTAAAATTGTCGAAGAAGAAAAAACGCGTAGTTCGTTTAATATTTTATTAAAAATTGCTAATTCCTGATAAGGGTAGTAAATTACGATTGCCCTCATTATGAATTGACGGGCATCGGAGAAATTTTCACACAAAGTTTGATTGAATCATAATCCTATGAAGATTTCCTTTATTATTTTATTAAATGAATAAATTCGAATTTCAGGAAGATAACATTGCTTTCTATTCATTCCAATTGAAGCAGTCAAAATTGAAACGTAAGTTTTTCGTTTTAAATATAAACTTCCGGTTTTCTAAACAAAAAATGGAACGTTGTTTCTGTTATTCCACCCCACTTTTCTTTAAAAGCAGAAGCTGCAAAAAGAAAGAAGGGCTTTGAAAATTAAGATGAATATCTATTTTAAAGCTAAATCCTTCAAAATTGAAGAAGCTGACAGCGGAAGCAACATCATTTCAGAAAACTAAGCACTTTATTCTTGCTTATTTTAGATCTTGAGGAACTGAGACGGAAATTTGCCGAAGACAAGAAAAAGCTGGCAATAGCAAAAGCAGCAAGGAAATTTCGTCCAACATGAAGTTTCCATATATATCTATCACTGTTTTTGCGCTAATTTCAATTCCATATAATTGTCTAGACATAATTTGACACCAGTCAAGAACATATTATATATTACAACTCAGGGTAAATTATGTTGTTAAAATTATAATATGTATATATAAATATTGAAAAAGTGAAAATAAATTTCCCTTCTGCATGTCGAACAAATGCATTGCAGTTTTCATTAGGCAGCAGTTTGTATGTCTTTTTCGCATATATTTTGGTAGTATAGTTTCTCTTAGGAAGAAACAAGAAATTTCAATGAATCAGAAATGATAATTTTTGTTTGCTTCAGGAAGGAACAATTTCAGTCCTGATAGAAATTTTCCAACATTATCTTTCAACATGAAAATTATCCAAACATATTTTCTTCCCTGCATTCTATTTATTTAAATAATTTAAAAAAGAAAAAAAACCCGACATGTGCTGTACCATAAAATAGCAGAATATTTAATGCAATGCTTTAATAGATCAAGCCCAAGTGTCATGTAGCATTCGGATGGTATGTATGCACGAGCTGTATCGAACGGATGAAATAGTGTTAATAATCGAATGGAAATAAGTATACCAGAATCATTATCATCGTAAAACGAGGTATTATCATTTTTGTCCTACAACTTCCCACTATTTTTTCCAAATTATTTTTACTATTTTTTATTGTTATATCAAAATAAAATTATTTATTTCGTTAGTAAACGAAAAAAAAATTTTCCGATTATAACTTCTGTTAACTTAGCAAATTTAACAGCAACAATGAGAATTAGCCATAGCTGCTTTACTTATTATGCCTAATATTTACAAGAATATTTTTCTGTACAGCAGAAAATTGCCAGTTGAACAAAAAAGTCACAAATAGTTGTATTTATTTACAAAATAAAAACGACGAACAATCAGATGCCAATTTTTTGCTCAATACAACAATAACAGAAGTAGAGTCAATTTTCTTGCAAAAATTCTTAAAACTAAAGTGCAAAACTTCTTGAATTGAGCAAATGTTAAAGATGTATCTTTTAAATTAAAGCTAAAACGTATAAAAAACGAGAAAAGAAATGTTTGGCAATCTCCCTGTCGGCTTAGCGTACACATGTGAAGATCGAAGTAGACTGCATGTATTGAAAAATTTTGTTCAAGCAGTAAAATATTGGAGGAAATGGACAAAGCGAGGTTGAATTTTCTCTTCGTTAAAAAAAAACTCTCAAATAATGAAAGATGGAAGATACCAGTGAACAAGAAAAATGATGAATAATAGAAGCAAGAAAACGGTTTACTGGATATGAAATTTGAGCCGAAGCAGGTGGTTGTTTTGATACAAACGTAGAATTAGTAACGACAAATAAAAGTCATTTCCGTTAATATAATTTTTGATTTATTTTTCAAAATAAATCTACTTACTTGTTTAACCCAAATAAACTTATTTGACAGCTTTTTCTAACAGAAATTAGGAATCCTTCACTAATTGTTTCGCTTAAAACACTAGTTTCTTAATTCAATATCGACTTTTTCATTTATCTTAGATTTTCAGGTGGATTAAATGATTACACAATGAAATCCCAAACAAATGGTTTTAATTGAACGTCTCAGCTCCGAAAATAAAGTTCGAATGAAGAGCTCATCGAATAATGAACAAACATTAGGAAACTCGAATCTAACAACTTTGTTTGGCAGCACTTTAGAAAGAAGTTTTCAAACTTTCCCTGCTTAGATTCTTCGAAATTAAAACTAAATTGTTTTGTATCCAAATACACATACACATACACATACACATACACACACACACTCATATTAATATATATATCATAAAAAGCATTTAGGCAATTCACATCAAATTCAATAGCAACTACAAATTTTATTTTTGAACTGGTATGTGGGGAAAGTTCCATAACTCTTCCTTTCTCTCAAAAAACTTTGTGTTCAAATTATGGAATATTCCATAATGAAAACATCGAAAAAGAATTTTGCAAAATTTAAGTAGCAGATGAGATTTCAATTCTGCGAAACATTTTCACACACAGACATACAGATACACAAATATATACACACAATACACACCCACACATACATTCACAGACGCACACTAAGAATCGCACGAAAAAGTCTTCATTTTTCTCCATCTGAAAATTACATTTTTTCAGTAGCAATCGCGGAAGAAAAAAGTATGGATGAGTAGTAAATCGAACAACGTAAAAGCAAAAAATTCCGCATCAGTCATAACCTGGATGCTCAGGACAACAATTTTTGCGCGCAAACCATTCATCGATACAGCTGAAACAAAAACATTACTTGCCTTTTTGTCATTATAATTCTTTCATGAAAAAACAAAAAATTACGAAGGATAATTTAAACATGGAACTAAGCCGACTAACAAATGAATACGGATAAATATGGACAAATGGGTAATAAAAACGGCCTTTCTATGAAGTCATTCTCTGGTAATTTTAAAGCGACCTCTAATTATCACAGATCAAATCGTAATTTTTTTTTAATTAGTGCTATAATTTTGTTTCACGAGAATAGAAAAAGAGGGAAATTATCATCTAATAACAGCAATAACAGCAGTTAATAGAAAAAGAAGGCAATAATTTTTCATAGCCAATAAAAGCAGTTGTCCTAAAAGGAAGAGGGAACGCGCTAATACCAAGGAGAAGGATGAAACAATGCAAGACATGACATCATGCTTTACTTAAATGTATGAACTACTGAGATGGTTGTCTTAAACCAGTTCAGTAGTTCATAGATTTAAGTAAAGCATGATGTCAGGTCTATTAGCTTGTAGAGTAAAAATAATCTACAAGTTAATAGAACAGAGTGCTTCATCACATTACTTCATATCGTCATCAAGATATCACGATATCGCCATTATCGCCTGTGATAACGGATTCAGCAATTTTCAATAGTACTAATCTGTTTCGAAGGGTGGCTAACTTCAAATAAAAAGCATGATTACCCTTTATGATAGATACATAAGCAAGGGAGACGCGCAATTCGATCACCACTGGACATTTCTTCGAGACATATCGAACATTCTCCTTTGTCCTCTCTTAATTCATCTTCTGGAATTCAAAAACGAATTATCTTTGTCATTGTACGAAAGAGGTAAAATATTATGTTAATACACTTTATTGATGAGAAAGCGGTACTTATAAAATAAAAAAAAAAGTAACTGTTGAGTTTGAAAAAAACAAATTAAATCTGTTTACTAAAGGAAACCAATAAATAAAGAAATAAATACCATTATATGTTATTTTAGGACGTGTTAGACACATTACTAGATGAACCTCAGCTTCATCAGAAGGTACCGTTTTCTTGCAAATCGGGCACTTAATATCTTGCGATAAACCTGCAAGAACAACATATTATATATCGGTGTAATATTTTATAAGTTTCGTAATTTAAAAATTATTAGGTATGCAATGCAACTAAAATCTGAAAATATTTGTCTTCTTCTTAGATAATTAAAAGAGAAAAAATTCCGTAAAAGTTAATTTATTAATAAGACTTTTGATTCCTCAGAAAAAATACGACTTTCAAACTGTGCAATTTGAAAAAAATTCCTTTTTTTCTAAATACCAAATTACATAGCATAAGTTTCAACAATAGTAAACTGTCTTTACAAATTCATTTTATGCTTTTGAAGGTTGCTCATTTTCTTGCCGATTAAAATATCAACCAGTCACTAGCACTAATAAATCAAATGAATGAAAGTAATAAATGGATACTGATGTACTTAGCAATGCAGGAACATCGCACGATGATGGCTAGTTTTAACTTCTACGAATATGTTTAAAAAGTGAAAAAATTCAATACTTCTTGATCTCCAGTACGACAACAGATGACAAGTACAACTTTCCTTCCAATCGGTTCATTTCAATAATGATTCACTTCGCCCACCTTATCATTAGCTTTAATCGCTTTCATACGAAAACTTTACCCACCTTTCCATTTTGTATTATGCATAAAATAAATATATTATCTACTTCACTTTATTTTATTACAGATATTGTTCCGATGTACGCCCCTCACTGTTCGATATAAGAACCACCAACGAACAAAGTAGCGAAGGAAATTGTAATCAACGAGAGTTTGAATGTTTAGTGAAAGACTTGTTATACTAGCAAACTCTTCCCTCCTTCCAAATAACGACGGAGAAGGCATTTGACAAAACTATTCAGTAAAAGAAAGTAAGGTTGCGATGAATGTTGTTCTTAACCCATAGCTCATACATCCTGCATCAATACGCGTAATGGTTACCTTTATTTCCTTCTAAATATCAAATTCAAATTCATATTTTCAACTTCAATTCTTAAATCACTGAAGGATTCCGGTCCTTTCTTATATGACTTCAATAGTTAATTAACAGGGCAAGAAAAGTGTAATTTGTTAAATGTTTTTGGACAGATAAGAAAGGTAAATATTCGAACTTACGACTCAGAAGTTGCAATACCGGCATCGACCGACGCGTTGGAGCATTACGTGAACTTCTGTGGCTTCGCAAATGTGAAACGGAGAACCTTAAACTTTTACGAATTTTCTATCAACATTTTACTAACGATTGAATAAGAAATAATTTCTTTAATTCTATATGGAACTTTTAATTCCAAGATATTTTTCTTCTCATAGGTTAACTGAGAGATTCTCGAATGAACAGTTATTCCACAGATGATATGGGTTACAAAGCAATAGAATTAGGATCTCTACCGCACCGGAAAGAAAAAATTCCAAATATTGATAACAGAAAATCCATAAACAAACATAAATCTCTTTTCAAAAAACTTTCACTCAAACAAATCTTGACATATAAAATCAATAAATTACTAACCCTATTGGCCGTGCATCAGAAGAACCAGAGTGTAATGCAACACTTGTTCCTGGTGCATCTTCATCAGAATCTGATGTACTTTCATTGTCAACCCGACCCTGTAAACTGTTAGCATTTAAAACTTAGAACATAAAATACCCAGAGCCAAAGTAAAATCAAGATTTCCCAATAGGATAAAAACTTCTTTTTGGCTAATGATTACATTATCAATATAAAAAAAAGTGATGCCTTATGGCAGAACATGAATGGACACTTCACAATGCATATACGATAAAAACTAATGAAATATCAGTCAAGGAACGAAATTTTTAGGTGCAAAATACACATTCAACTCAATTCAAACAATAACAATACACCCACAATAGCAATGACATCGTTTGATCAACGATAACATAAATTTTTTAAATGAAAAACAAAAAATATTCACACAGAGATACACAAACGCATACATGCATGCACGGTGTCAGTATATTCACATTTGGTATTCCATGTAATATTTAAAAATTTTAGCAGTACCCTAAGGTTGCTGATACTACCAATGCCAGCGATCAAATGAGGATTACGATGATTAGTTGAAGCTGAAGCTGCTACTGCTGTTGTATCGACCACTGAATCAGATCGAGGTCGACGCTAAATTAAACTTTTGAATACAAAATTAAAAAAAAAAATCGAAAAAAGGGGTTTTCGTTATATGTGAATAAAAACAGAAAGCCAATTTAAATATGTGGTTTAACATATTGAATTTAAAATTAATATAATGAAAACGGAAACTAAACCGTGCGTCATACAACCAAATTCAATTGTGAACTATAGATGACAATTACATCTAGTATGACACTAAAAAATGCAGAAAAATTACCCTATCCTGCTTCCGACGCCTCTCGGTTTCATCCCACAACAACGCTATAATCCTTATTTATTTTAGTCACAAGATAGTATTCTGGGTATGACATCCCAACTTGCCAAAACACAGAAACAAAACAGGATAGGCCAGGACAATTTCCGAATATTGGTTGAGCCGAAAGTTTTAAAGCTAGCATAAAATGTTTTAAAGAAGAAAAATCTGCCAATTTCAGGACAAAAGATTTTCTATTTTATCCATATCGTTAGAAAGATGTGCATAGAACAGAAAAATACTTCGTGCACATCATTTAAAATACTAAAATTCGTGTTAAAGTTTTCCAAAAATTGAATAATTGAAATGTAAGAGGCATATTATTCGAGAGAAAAATAATTAATGTTATCGGATCTAAATAGATTACACCAGGCTTTTGATAAAAAGATATTATTGTCGTTGCTAGCCAAATCAACAACAGCTGAACATTGACGCAAGTAATGCCCTTATTTAATAGCAACACTGATGATTTTTGCACTCCACAAAAACGTACTTCATTTCATCTTGCAAGAAAGTACGTGGAACAGGAGGCATGTGACACTGATTCAGAAAATTAAACATGACCTAAGGAATCTTATTCTGGATGTATTGAATGATTGGAAATATTCTCAAAATTAAACAGTCTTCAAACAATGGTAAAAGTGACATTAATTCAGTATAAAATTTATAAAATCGGTATGATGTCACTGTTAGCTTAAAAGGTACTAATTAGATAATCAACGGAATTTTTATTCCCGAAGGCGGATATTCCAGAAATGTAGGTCTTGAAAACGAAACAATAACATTTGATTCGCCTTCAATACAATCATTTCTATGCTACTGTTACATCCATATTCTACAAAATTTTATCAAGAATTTCGGTCTTTGAATTAATATGCATCTATTTCCCGATATAAAAAACACAAAAATTCCTAATAATACAGAAATTATCTTTGTGAAATTCATATGAACTAACATGTAAATCGGTTTGAACTGATTGACGTCCACCCATCCGGTCTAGTAGTAATCAGCGCAGACACATATACACACATACACTTTTCTTTTCAAGAAAACCCGAAGTAAATCAAGCACAATATATACAAACCCGACGCACCTACACACTGCTGTAATTTACCTGCAAATAGAAGTAAAATTTTAAATTTTAAAACAATAATAAAATTCTAGTATAACGCAATATCAATATCACTAGCAATTTTAATGTAAGATATGCTGAAATATGCCGAAGAAAATTAGAACTGAACGTAAAGTTCGAAATTTTGCACTCTATTAGAGAGAATTCCAAATCTGTCACAGAAGTAACGCACATTGGATCGTATTAAATAAATTTTAGGGCAAACATAAAAAGTGGAGCAAAACAAGGAAGGAATTCTAAGAAGCTTCTCCCTATCTGTAAAAGCAAGTGTTGCTGCCCCTCAAAATAAACTTCAAATCAAACAGGAAAGTTAGACATGATGGAATAAAGGAATCAAATGTAAAAACTAGAGACGATGAGATGTAATTTAATCGTTTTTTGAAATTGTTCCCTTCTCGTTTAAGTCAACAAGTTCACGCGGTTAAACAGGATAGAGGAATTTCGTAACAATGTCTCAACCACTAACATGCAATACATCTAATCAGTAACTGTCAATCAGATAATAAATTCGGTAAACCAGAAGCCAAATTAGCAGAGTGATTGAATGGAAGGTTTAATAATTGGTCAATATCAAACCTGTAATAACAGAATCCTCAAATCATTTCCTTCAATCAATCTGTTGATTCGACTTCCGATTTTCTGAATCTTGACTGCTTCTTCTCCTTTGTCTGGCGCGATTCAGCAGATTCCCTTATCGCATTTAAATATTCGCGCAACCACTATCATCTCTTCAGGCTTGAATTAAAGGGATAGAATCCATTCTTTTCCAGCAAAACCTAGCCAGAAAATGTTACCCTTTGCATCATCAAAAAACAGAAGTGTTCCGTATTTACTTGAAATTAAAATTTAATCTAATTGAGTAATCCTGCAATAGTGCTATAACAAAGTTCTTTAGTTGTAACAAATTGCGCAATAATGGAGAGTTGGATCTTATTTTTGCCATGTATTATCATCTTTGGTTCTATTGCATGCACTTATGCGCATGTGTGTTTGCGCGTCTATGCTTTGGATGTTTGTCTGTCTATGTTTACAATTTATCAAAATGGAAACGGATGGGAAACACCCAATTTATAGAAATCAATTCACCATTTTCAAGCAAAAATCAATTAATCACTCACACCGAATTACATCATCTACACTTATTCCATCCGAATACCACTTTCGAAAGTAACTTCCAGATCGCAATCCGGTAATCAAATTTTCTATTATAGAAAATTTTAACAAACAATAAATATACATGGATATAGCGGAATCAAAAAAATGATAACAATTAATATCCTAAAATATGCAAACAAGCTAACGCAGATACACAGGTAAACCATATACGAACAGACACGAACACCAATAGTCCTAACTTTCATATTATCTTCGGATGAATATTGCGCTGTAACATACGAAATAATTTTACAGCTATTTTTAAATTTTGATGAGTTTTGCATTTTGCAGCATAAAGGACAAATTGATAAATAGTAGAGAATTTCTAACTTGTCAGAAGTGATTCCTTTTGTTTTTGCATTTAATTAATATTTTTAATCTTTACATTTATTCAATTGACATTTCTAAGTTTTCAAAAATAGTTTCACATTAATTAATGAAAACTTTCTCATTAAAAAAGATTCCAATTTTTTGGAAAAATTTGAAGGAGCAAATTGGCTTCAGAATTTCAATTTAAATCTTTGCCTGTCTTAATTACTATTTGAGTAATATCATTAACTAATTACTATTTGAGCTGTATCATTAATTATTATTTGAGCAATATCATTATTAAATTTAAGGAAGTTTTTTTTTTTGAATACTTAAATGGAAGAAACTTTTTAAAGCAATCAATAACGAATCAATAATTTGCATATCTTTCAAAATAAATTTCACTTCTTACTTTGAATTAATCTTTCTCCTATTTTTATCCATTTCAAATTTGTTTAATTTTTCACGAATATATATTTATCATTTATCATTCATCTTTGTACTATCATATGATCTTCCTGTATTGCTAGATAATTAATCTTATCCTAATTTATTTTTCTAAATAAGAGACTAATCATTTTGTTCGATCGATATGTTCACTTTGGTTTTTGCTAACTAATATATCAAATGATTTGCAGCAAAATTTTATTATTTGCAAATTTTTGATATGTTCTAGCAAATAATAAACTTACTGTTAAAGTATAAATAATTAGCTACTTTTAATATATTAGTAGTAAGCGATAAGCTTAAATATTTAATTCATCAAAACTATAATGAAAAACTATGATGAAATTATTGACAACAATTTCAACAAATTTATTTCAGAACAATGCATTGGAATTGAGGTGAATGAAAGAATTAGTTTAATAAATATGATTATTTTGATAAGGCAATAGTGGATGAGATTACGTTGATAAGCAATTAGAATAAAATGATAAGCATTAAAATTGAGGTGAAAGAAAGAATTAGTTTAATAAATATGATTATTTTGATAAGGCAAATAGTTGAATGAGATTACGTTGATAAACAATTAAAACAAAATGATAAATTTAATTAAGATTTTTATTTACAAATGCCATCAAATCTCATTCAAGAACACTAGTGATATGTAATCATATCATGAGCAGCTTAATCAATTGAAATGACTGATGCACTAGCATAGTAACCTTTTTTTTCCCTAGTGATCGATATTTCCGAAGTGTATTTGAAATTTAGAAAATTAATTTATCAAATAATTTTCAGCGCTTCTGAATGCTACTAAAAATGAAGCATAATTTTTTAGCAGTGATTAAAATTATATTATAGTATTCTTTTTTTCGAATCAAATTATTTGATTATTAATGCTAATGTGGAATTTACGGTTGAAATTTTTTTTATCCATTTTATAAAATAAAATTAAAATTTCAATCGATATGAAATTTTACAAACGCTACTTACTGTATATCTTATAATCTTTCCAATATTTTCTTCCAATTTTTATTTTTGAATTTAAATTTTTTCCTATTTATTTATTAATGAAGTTGTGTATTTGTTATGATTTCTTAATACTTTCCTTTTTCATATTTATTTATTTTGTATTATGAAATTTCCATCAAATTGAAGAATGAGTTATTTCAGTATTTTAATCGATCTCTTTTAACAAAACAAATATTTTAATTGGTAGAATATAAAGCTGTAAGATTTATTATTACGTACTATAAAAGGATTTAACCCAGTAGGATTTATTACATACTGTAAAGGTATTTAGCGAATAAATAAGAAGACAATAAGTAATATTTTACTATAATTCTTTTAAGGTTTATAAAATTTTAAAATTTAGAAAATATAGCTACTTCTTTTTTTTCTGAAAGTAATTTGTAGCACTAATACCAGCTATACAGTGAAAACCCAATATACAGTAATATATGATTTCAAATTTAGAAGGAATTATTCGTTGTAATCGGTTAATATTTTTCAATTTGTAAAGTAAACAATAACTAATTTTATTGCTATTGTTTACTTTGCTTATAACTATTTATTGTTTATTTTGTTTATAACTATTTTTATAATTAAATTTGTAAGAGTATTTTTAAGACATACGTAAGATGCTGTTGTTTGAAATAAAATAATTAGATATTTCATAAACTGTGTGATAGAGAATTATAAAACAATAAGCATATCTTTCATATACTCTTATTATTCATCATTCACTCACAACTATCCATCAAATTACTGCCATTGAAACTATTCAAATTAGTAATACTATTCTGAATATCAGTATTAATTTAATTTGAATATTTTATATTGATCAATAAATATCACTGAAACCAAGATTATCTGAACTTTTGATAATGCAGTATTGTCACACGCGAGTGATAGTATCACCTCAAATAGATACACCTCAAATAATATAGATTATTTTATTTTTTATATTTATTAATTATGACATACATGTTTATTATATATGAGACAATTAACGGTATGATCATATATGATAATTAATAACGAGATCACATTTCATGTATCACCCTTTATGATGATAAAATATTCATATACATTGAAGATGATATGTTCACATGCAGTATATGAGACAATTAATGACATGATCACATGTGATAATTAATAACGTGATCACATTTCATCACCCTTTATAATGATAGTACGTTCACATACGTTGAGATATCATACATTAAATTTGTAACGTAAAAAAAAGCCATAGTATCATAATAATTTCTAATTATTTCATTGTCATTCCAATTTTTAATTAGTTGAACTGTTAATTGTGAAATTATTCGATGAAATAATACTAATAATTAAAAATGAAATTTTAAATATATGCTGAAATTGCTAAATATCTTGTTATAAATAATAAATTTATACTTAATCATTATTATCAATTCTAATAAAATATTAAATGCTTTTCCTATTTGATCGATTACGACTATGATATAGAATGATATTTTTGTCATAATTATTTAATTACACTTTAAAATCTCTCAAATTATTCTCCTACAAAAAAGCTATCCATTCTATCCTATTCAAATAGGTAAATAAGCTATCCAAATAGATAGTAAGAATGGATAGTAAGTAAGAATGGATAAGATAAAAAATGGATAGTAAGCAGCTATCCAAGTAATTTTCTTTTATTTATTCATATGAAATATTTCAATGATTTAATTTTAGCTTCAGTTATATTATAAATATAAATATAAAAGTCTTATGTAAGAAAAAGAAATTTTTACAAAGAAAATTTCATTTCATTTTATTTCCTATTTTATTTCCTATTTCATTACATTTTATTTCCTATTTTATTTTACTTCATTTCATTTCATTTTATTCTTTATAATTTACATTTTGTACAAAAATTTGCCGCTCCTTTGCATACCTTTTCTTCTAACATACCAATTTTTACCGCT